TGGTGGGGAGGGGGCTGGAAGGGGATCTAAGTGGGATAGGAGGGTCCCTGGTTCCTGGGGGGTCCCGCGGGTAGTTGGGGGTGCCTGGGGGTGCTGCCCTGTGACCCCCCTGGTGCCCCCCAGGGTTCTGCCACCACTACCTGCCCCCGGACAAGTTCCCGCGGGGGTTCCGTTTCGACGCGGACGAGGTGAACTTCCCCACGAGCGACTTGTGCTTCGTGGGGCTCATGTCCATGATCGACCCCCCCCGCGCCGCCGTCCCCGACGCCGTCGGCAAGTGCCGCAGTGCCGGCATCAAGGTGGGACCCCCGGGGACCCCCCGTGAGGGGGCGACCCCCCCTGTGCCCCTCAGGTGACTGGGGACCACCCGATCCCCCCCTCCCTGACCCCTCCGTGCCCCCCCAGGTGATCATGGTGACTGGGGACCACCTGATCCCCCACTCCCTGACCCCCCCGTGCCCCTCCAGGTGATCATGGTGACTGGGGACCACCTGATCCCCCCTCCCTGACCCCCCCGTGCCCCCCCAGGTGATCATGGTGACCGGGGACCACCCGATCACGGCCAAGGCCATCGCCAAGGGCGTCGGGATCATCTCCGAGGGCAACGAGACTGTGGAGGACATCGCGGCCAGGCTCAACATCCCCGTCAGCCAGGTCAACCCCAGGTGAGCTGGGGGGGATTTTGGGGGGTCCCAGGGGGGTTTTGGGGGTCCTAGGGAGTATCTTGGGGGCCTGGAGGTCCCAGAGAGTGTCCCAGGGGTTTGGGGGTGTCAAAGGGGGGGTGTCCCAAGGCTTTGGGGTTCTCTGCAGGGAGGCCAAGGCGTGTGTGGTGCACGGCTCGGACCTGAAGGACATGAGCTCGGAGCAGCTGGACGAGATCCTGCGGAACCACACCGAGATCGTCTTTGCCCGCACGTCCCCCCAGCAGAAGCTCATCATCGTGGAGGGCTGCCAGCGACAGGTGACACCAGCCTGGCCTTTGTCCCCCCAGACCCTGTCCTCTGTCCCTTCTCTTTTGACTCCGGTCCCTTGTTCCTGTCCCCTCCCACTTATCCCATCCCCCTGTCCTTCATCCCCTGCCCCCATTCCCAGTCCCCATAGCCCCTATCCCTTGTCCTCTGTCCCTTGTCCTCTGTTTCCTGTCTCCCTGTCCCCTCTCCCCTGTCCCCACAACCCCTGTCCCCATGTCCCCTGTTCCCCATCCCCATATCCCCTGTCCCCATGCTGTCCCCATGCTGTCCCCATGCTGTCCCCACTGTACCCCCCTTGTCCCCCCTCACCCCCCCGTCCCGGCTGAGCCGGCGGTGTCCCCGCTGTGCCCAGGGTGCCATCGTGGCGGTGACGGGGGACGGGGTGAACGACTCCCCCGCGCTCAAGAAGGCCGACATCGGCATCGCCATGGGCATCGCCGGCTCCGACGTGTCCAAGCAGGCGGCCGACATGATCCTGCTGGACGACAACTTCGCCTCCATCGTCACCGGCGTCGAGGAAGGTCGGGGGCACCCCCGCGGCCCCGTTCTGGAGGTCTCCAGGGGGGTTGGGGACACTCCTGCAGTGACAATTCCCATCCCTGTCACCCCCAGGGCGGCTGATCTTCGACAACCTGAAGAAATCCATCGCCTACACCCTGACCAGCAACATCCCCGAGATCACCCCCTTCCTGCTCTTCATCATCGCCAACATCCCCCTGCCCCTGGGCACCGTCACCATCCTCTGCATCGACCTGGGCACCGACATGGTGAGGGGGGGCCCAAAATTTGCCTGGGGACCCCAAAATTCACTCCAGGGACCCCAAAATCCACCCCAACCCCTCCAAATCCATCCCCCTGCCCCTGGGCACCGTTACCATCCTCTGCATCGACCTGGACACCGACATGGTGAGGGGGGGCCCAAAATCTGCCTGGGAACCCCCAAATCCACCTCAGGAACCCCCAAATCACCCCAGGGGGTGACAGGAGGAGACACAGGGGTGGCAGTGGGTGACACAGGGGTGGCAGTGGGTGGCAGTGGGTGGCAGTGGGTGGCAGTGGGTGACACAAGGGTGACACAGGGATGGTAGTGGGTGGCAGTGGGTGACAGAGGGGTGGCAGTGGGTGGCAGCAGGTGACACAAGGGTGACACAGGGGTGGCAGTGGGTGGCAGTGGGTGACCCGGGGTGCCCCCCAGGTCCCTGCCATCTCCCTGGCCTACGAGGCGGCCGAGAGCGACATCATGAAACGGCAGCCGAGGAACCCCCGCACCGACAAACTGGTCAATGAGCGGCTCATCAGCATGGCCTATGGGCAGATTGGTACGGGGGTCCTGGGGGGGCACAGAGAGGGTCCTGGGGGGGCACAGGGAGACACAGAGAGGGTCCTGGGGTCAGCATGGTCTACAGGCAGATTGGGGGGGTGGGGGTCCCAGAGGTGTTACTCCGTGACCCTGGGGGGGCGATCCCCATCTTGGATGCTGATCCCCATTCCCAGGTGCCAATCCCAAATCCCGGGGTGCTGATCCCGATCCTGGGGTGCTGATCCCAGTCCCACTCCCCCCCCAGGGATGATCCAGGCGCTGGGTGGGTTCTTCACCTACTTTGTGATCCTGGCTGAGAACGGGTTCCTGCCCGGGACCCTCCTGGGGATCCGCCTGGCCTGGGACGACCGATCCACCAACGACCTGGAGGACTCCTACGGCCAGGAGTGGGTGCGTGGCCACAGGGGGGTGGACACAGGGGGCACAGGGGGTGTGATCTGTGAACACGGGGGGCACGGGGCGTGCGATGGGGGGCACGGGGGCACAGGGGATGCAATGGGGGGCACGGGGGGCAGGGGGGCTGCACCCCCCCGCACCAGCCCCACCCTCACGCTCGCCCCCCTGGCCACGGTGCCTCCCAGACGTACGAGCAGCGCAAGGTGGTGGAGTTCACGTGCCACACGGCCTTCTTCGCCAGCATCGTGGTGGTGCAGTGGGCGGACCTGATCATCTGCAAGACCCGCCGCAACTCCGTCTTCCAGCAGGGCATGAAGTGAGAGCCCAGAACACCCAAAAACCCCCAGAACCTCCCCCAGAAAACCTGCCCTAACCCCCCCTAAAGCCTCGGGTGCCGAGGACCCCCGCACTAAGGGACATGGGGTGCAAGGGACCTTGGGGAGGGGGGTCCCTGGGACCCCTGCGGGTGGGAATTGGGGTGCCCAGGACCCCCTACTGGGGTTATGGGGACCCCCCATACTCAGGTCCGTGGCTACCTGGCACCCCCAGGAGCAGTGAACTGCCCCCCTGATCGCCCCTGTGTGCCCCCCACCCACCCATGCCCCCTCTCCCCCTGCAGAAACAAGATCCTGATTTTTGGGCTCCTGGAGGAGACGGCGCTGGCGGCGTTTCTGTCCTACTGCCCCGGCATGGGGGTGGCCCTGCGCATGTACCCCCTCAAGTGAGTGTTTGGGGGGTCCCCCAGCACCCTGCCCCCCCCTACCCCCCTGGATGTCCCCAACGAGGTGTTGTTTGTGTCCCCCCGCAGGGTCACGTGGTGGTTCTGCGCCTTCCCCTACAGCCTCCTCATCTTCGCCTACGACGAGGTCCGAAAGCTCATCCTGAGGCGCTACCCGGGAGGTCAGTGGGGGCACCCCAAAAATGGGGCACCCCAAAAACGGGGGGAGCCCCAAAACACCTCCCTCCCAGGGCTTGGTAGCCCCCAGAACCAATCCCGGGGTTGAGACCCCCCTGGAACCCCCCTGGGCATTGACCCCCCTCACACCTCCCCTGGGATCAACTCCCCCCGAGGCCAGGGGGGGCACCCCAAAAACGGGGGAACCCCCGGGGTGTGTGTGGGGCACTAAGGGGGTTGTGGGGGGGTGCCCAACAATTTGGGAGGGGGCACAGAGAAATGGGGGGCAAGAGGGGCCAGGGCACCCCGGGGGGGGAGCATTTCCCCCTCCCCTCTGATACCCCCCCCTCTCCATTACAGGCTGGGTGGAGAAGGAGACCTACTACTAGAGACCCTCGTGGGACCCCCGGCCCCCCAACACCCTGCACCCCAATACTAACCCCGGGGGCTGCTGGGGGGGTCGGAACCCCCCTGACCTGGGGGGGGCACCCAGACCCCCCCCCTTCAGAGCAATAAACCAGTTTAACCCCTTTGTGCGCTGGTCTGTGCTGGGGGGGCAGGGGTGGCACAATGGGGGGGGACACAGGGGGAGGGGCAACCTCTGGTGCCCCCCCGGCCCCCAACACCGATGGGACTCAGAGGGGTCCTGGACACCAACTCCCCAATTCTGGGGGTCCCGAACACCCCATGCCCCCGAGTCTGGCGGGGGGTCCTCAACACCCCCTGGGACCACCACCCTGGCCCCCGAGGTGTCCCCTGGTGACTCCACACTCGGCTCCTTATTTTTAGGCCCCCCCTCCCCCCGTCCCCGGGATCCTCTTTCCCGGCTTAATATGGAGCTGGAGCGGGGCTGGAAAAGGGAGGGCCCGGGGGGGACAAAGGGGGGGACAAACAGGGGGACAAACAGGGGGGACAGGGCTGAGCCCCCCAAGGGGGTTCTGCCCCCCTGCCCGGACCCTACGGACCCCCCGAGGGGGGGAACACACATGGGGAACGTGGCGGGCGGGAGGGGGGTGGGAGGTGTCAGGGTCCGTCTGTCCCCACCGTGTCCCTCTGTCCCCTCCTGGTGGGGCCGGAAGGGGCTGGGACTGTCCGGGTGTCCCCCTGGGGTCGCGACCGTTCCCTGTGGCCCGAGTTGTGTCCGTCTGTCCGTCCCCCTCCGACTGACACCCGGCCCGAGGACTGTCTGTCTGTCCGTCCGTCTGTCCGTCTGTCCCCAGGGTTCTGTCTGTCCCCCTCCCGTGTCGGTCCCCGCTGCTCCCTGAGCCCCCTCCCCGCCTGTCCGTCTGTCCGTCCCTCTCTCCCTGTGTCCACTCCCGGCCGTGTGTCCGTGTCCCCGTGTGGCCGTATCCGTGTCCCCGTGTCCGTGTGTCTGTGTGTCCGTGTGTCCCCGTGCCCGTGTGTCCCCGTGTCCCCGATGTGGCGCTGGGCTTGGGCGCTGGTGCTGCTGGCGCTGGGCTCGGGGGTCCCGGGGGGGTCGTGCCGGGGGGGATTGCACTTGCCGGCCCCCGGTGGGCGGGCCCGGGTGGTCGCGGTGACCCCGCGGGACCACCGGGAGCTGCTGAGGCGCTTCCCGGGGCTGGCGCTGCTCCCGCGGGACCCCCGGGATGGGGAACCGCGAGATGGAGAACCCCGGGATGGGGAACCCCGGGATGGGGAACCCCGGGACAAGGAACTGGTGACAGAGGTGGGCACGGGGGAGGCACTGGTGGGGACTGGGGGGTGCTGGTGGGACAGGCACTGGTACCAGCACCTGTGTGATACTGGGGATGCTGGTGGGGACCAGGGGACACTAGCGGGATGGACAGTGACCCCCCTGTGGCACTGGGGACACTGGTGGGGACTGGGGGGCACTGGTGGGACACTGCTCTGCCCCCCAGGTGCCGGAGCAGCCGGTGGTGGTGGTGGTAGAGGAGCAGCTCCAGCACTTCGGGAACCTCGAGGAGGAGCCCAAAGTCATCGGGTACTTCCAGGGACAGCACTCGGAGCGTACGTGGGACCTCCCACCTGTCACCTGTGTCACCCGTGCCCCCCGTGTGTGCCCTCTGTGTCCCAGTGCCCTCCCAGTGCCCTCCCAGTGCCAGCCCAGCCCGTGTCCCCGCTGTGTCCCCCCAGGTTTCCGCTCCTTCATGGCGGCCGCGCGGCACTTCCAGCCCTCGGTGTCCTTCTTCGCCACCTTCGACAGCCGGGTGGGTGCTGGGGGGCCGGGGGGCGTGGGGTGACCCCCCGGCACCCAGAGGTGCTCAGGGACACCCCCCCAGCTCCCAGGGGTGCTCAGGGACGCCCCAACCCCCCAGGTGGCGCAGAGGCTGAGGCTGAGGTTGAACCAGATCGACCTGTACCCCCCCTTCCAGGAGCTGCCCCGGACCCTCGGGGGGGTCCCTGGGGACACCCCCACCATCGTGACCTTCGTGGAGCAGAACAAGCGGTGGGGGGGACGGGGGGACCCCCATCCTGAAACTGGGGGGTCTGGGGGGTGAGGGGGGGGTGTTGCCATGGGGACAGGTTACCAAGGCAGGTGGTTGCCATGGGATGTGGTTGCCATGGGGAGGTGGTTGCTATGGGGACAGGTTGCCAAGGGAAATATCAGCCATGGAGATGTGGTTACCATCAGAGACGGTTACCATGGGATGTGGTTGCCATGGGATGTGGTTGCCATGGGATGTGGTTGCCATGGGATATGGTTGCCATGGGATGTTGTTGCCATGGGAGACTGTTGCTGTGGGGATGTGGTTGCCATGGAATGTTGCTGCCATGGGGATGTGGTTGCCATGGGGATGTGGTTACCATGGGATGTGGTTGCCATGGGGACAGGGGATTCCCAGCTCCCCCAGCTCCCCCTTGCCCCTTTCCCACCCTGCCCGCGGTAGCCCCTGCAGTGACACGAGTTTGTGAGGCCTCAGTAGTGTGGGGAGGTCCCTCCCTGCCCCCGGGGGGTCGGGGGGGTCCCGAGGGGGCGGTTGAGCCCCCCCAGGCCGGGCAGGGTTAAAGCCCCGGGTGCTGCCGGGATATTCCCGCAGCCTTAATCCCCCCCTCGGATCATCCCCCCCCCCCCGCCGCGGCCTCAATCCCGCGGGAGATGGGGGGACCCTCCACGGCCCCCCCTGGCGGCCACGGCGGGGGGGCTCAGCCCTGTGCCCCCCCCTCAATGTCCAGCCCAGCTGTCCTGCCCCCTCACCCCTGCCCTCCCCCTCGAACATCCCCCTCCAGCAGAGCCCGGGGGTGGAGGGTGAGGGGCAACGTCTCGTGGGGGGCGGGGGGGCAGATTTGGGGGTGCCCCTCACCCCCTCCATCCCCCAGGGCCACACTGAGGAAACTCAAACCCCAGACCATGCAAGAGGCCTGGGTGAGTGGGAGGTCCTGCCCCCATCACCTGCCCCTCCCCATCCATGGGGACCCCTCAACCCCCTCCCCCGCCTCAGTGACCCCCCCGTGTCCCCCCAGCAGGATGCAATGGACGGGATCCACGTCGTGGCCTTCGCAGAGGGGGATGATCCGGGTGAGGGGGGGCCCGGGGGGAGCAGGGGACACTGAGGGGGGGCCCCAGCCCCCCTCACTCCCCTCCCCCTTCCCAGATGGCTTCGAATTCCTGGAGATCCTGAAGGACGTGGCCCGGGACAAAGCGGATAACCCCCAGCTCAGCATCCTCTGGATCGATCCCGACGATTTCCCGCTGGTACCGGTCCCTTCCCGGGGTGGGGGGACACCCCCCGTGACCTCCCCGTGCCATCCGGGGGGGTCCCGACCTCCTGATCCCTGTGTGCCCCCCTCCCCCAGCTCGTCCCTTACTGGGAGGAAATCTTTGACCTCGACCTGTCCCGGCCCCAGCTGGGGGTGCTCAACAACACCCACGTGAGTGTGACCCCCCCGGGGACCCCCCCAGGGTGTCCTCGGAGCCCCCGGGGTGTCCCCCGAACCCCCCAGGGTGTCCCCTGAGCCCCTGGGGTGTCCCCACGCCCCGTGCTCCCCCCAGGCTGGCAGCGTGTGGCTGGAGATGGAGGAGGAGGATCTGCCAGGCCCGGGGGACATCCAGGAGTGGCTCCGGGGGGTCCTGGGGGGGCTCATCGGCCCTGGGGGGGACAGTACTGATGATGACGATGAAGACGATGAAGATGATGATGAAGATGATGATGATGAAGATGATGATGACGACGAAGATGATGATGATGACCTTGATGATGATGATGATGATGATTAGGCCATAAAATCCCCCCAAAAAGAACCAGGGTGTGTCACTGGGGGGGGTTGATGATGGGGATCAGATCCAGGGGGTGAGATCCCTGTGAAAGACCCCTGAGGTCCCCACACGAGATTCCCACCTGAGATCCCTGAGTGAGACCCCCATAAAACATTCCCGAGTGAGACCCCTGCGTGTGCAGCATCCCCCGTGCAAGATCCCCACGTGAGATCCCCCACACGAGATCCCTGTGCAGTAACCCCTGCGTGAGATCCCTGGGACAGATCCCGCCTCCTGCGGGACAAGATCCCTGGGAGGGACCCTGGGGTGATATCCCCCCAAGCAACAGCCCCGTGTGACATCCCCCTGTGGGATCCCGGGGCCAGATCCCGATGTGGGATCCCTGTGTGGGATCCCGGGGCCAGATCCCTCCCCACTCCGGTCCCGGGGGGTGCGACAGTGACCCCTCCTCGCGTGCCCCCCTCTCCCCCCCTTCCTTTCGCGGGGGTGACACGCACGAGGCCCCCAAACCTCTGCCGGGGGGTTCCCGGGGGCGTCCCCTCCCTGCTGACCCCGCCCCTCTAAGCCCCGCCCTGCCGGACCCCGCCCGGTTAAGCCCCTCCCTCCCCCGCCCGCCGCTCAGAGCGGCGGCACCGAGACCCCGGAGCGGCTCCGCCACCGGCACCGGCAGCGACAGCGGCCGGTAAGTGGGGGCTGGGGGGGGGGCTAGGACCCACCGCGCGACCCCCGGCCCCGGCGGCGGCCCCGGGAGCCCCCCCAGGCCCGGATGGACGCGCCGGTCGCCGCCCGTGGCCGCCTCCATCCGGTCCCGGTTCCGCTGCCGGGGACGATCCCGGGCCACTGGATCGGACACAGAGCGCGGGTACGGACCCCCCTTCCCAGCCCCCCGCCGGTACCACCCCCACCCCTCGGAGCATCCCCCCGCTCCGGCGATGACCCCCGGGGTGGTCAGGAAGGGGTTAACGGCGCCGGGGTCCCGGACAGACCCCGGTGCCCCCGGCCCTCCCGCCGTGCCCCCATCCCCGCCTTTCACTTCCCCTTTGGCTGCCGGGGGCTCGAACCCGTGACACGCACAGGGGGGACAGGCGGTGCCTACCGGTCCCCACGCGGGACGCGGGACCCGCCATTACCCCCGGTGCCGGTCCCGGTGCCCCCGGTCCCCCCGGTCCCTGTCCCCGCACGGGACACGTGGTCCCCCCACGAACACCCCCCCTCCCCGCGGTGACATCGGGACCCCCCCATCGCCACCCGAGACCCCCGTGGGTGTCCCCCGTTCCCCGTGGGGCGCGGGGTCCCCCCCACCCCGCGCGTCCCGCGCCTGCGGTGCCACCCAGTGCTCCCAGTACCGCCCAGTGCCAGCGATGCCACCCCGTCCCCCGGGACGGGCTGACCCCCCCTCGCCGCGGGTGGGGCCCTTAGGGGGGGCGCGCGTGGCCGGATTCCTGTGGAACACGAGTGGGAAAAGGGCGCGTGAGGCGGTCACGCGGCCCCGGGCTGGGCCAAACTGGGGCCAAACTGGTCCCAAACTGGGCCGCGGAGCCGCCGCTTCCGCGTCGCAGCGCCGGGACGGGGAGGGATTTTGGGGAGGAGAGGAGGGGGGTCCCACAGTTCATCGCCCCCCCGACCATGCCCACCCGTGCTCCGTCCCGCGGAGCATCCGCGCGGCCCCGCGTGGGGAAACTGAGGCACAGGGCGCGTTTTGGGCGGGGGGGCAGCGCGCCCAGATGTGCCCCAGATGTGCGAGGAGCCGCCGCGGGGATGATGCTGCGCCCGGGGGGAAGGGCGGCGGGACCTCTCGGAACGCGTGGGACCCCCCGGGACACGGGTGGGACCCCAGGGGCAGGACGATGGCGGTGGTCGTGGGTCAGGGCGGTGCCCGGGGGGCTCCGTGGGGCGGCGAGGGGGGTCGAGGAGGGGCCGGAGAGTGGCCGCGGGGTCGGAGCGTGGCCGTGGGGTAGTGGCCGTGGATCTGGGATCTGTCCGTGGGTCTGGGGGGGTGTCCGTGGGGCCAGGACCGTGGCCGTGGGGCGGGAGCCATGACTCGCATTCCCGGGATCGGGGGGGTTGCGGGGGGGCCGGAGGCGGCAGCGCCGCTCCCCGCGCCACAAAGGGTCCCTTGTCCCCACGCTGCGTGGGGGGGGTTCGTGGGGGACCCTCCCCCCCTAGTCCCGCTCTCCCCACCCACCCCAAAAACACACGGGGAAGGGGGGGTAGCGATAGGATAACAACACACTCTCCCCCAAAACCCCCCCGCGGGGATGGGGGAGACAAAGGCGGGAAGGAACCGGCCCACCCGTGTCCTGTGCCCCCCCCACGGCGGGATTAACCTCCCCCCCCCGGTGCCCCCCACTCGCCCCACTGAATGGGTCCCCGCAGGGCCACGCCCCTCGTGCATATTCATGAGGCGCTTTGCATGAGAACCGTGAATGGGGAGGGGGTCCCGCTGTTTCGGGGGGGTCGCGGGCATCACCGCCCTCTCCCCCTCCCCTGCTCCCGCATTCCCCGCGGGAACGCGGCGCGGGGGGGGACGGGCCGAGCCTGGGAACGGGCAGGAGGCCACGGGAGAGGGGCGGGGGGGTCCCAACCCCCCCCCGGCGGAAGGACCCGGTGTCCGGGCCAAGGGCTGAGTCATCGGCGGCCTTAAAGGGGCCGGAGCGGGGCCGGACACGGCCCGGACACGGCTCGGGCACGGCTCGGACACGCGTGTCCGTGTGCGGGGGGCGCGCGCGCGGCCGCACGTGCGCGAGGATTTTGGGGGGATTGGGGGGGAAGGGTCTGTAACTTTCTGAGGAAGGGCCGTGGGAGGGGGTGGTGGATAAGGGGGGTCTGTGCGTGGGGAGGGGTGTCTGTGTGTAAGGGGAGCGTGGGGCGGGAGCGTGGGTTGAGGTGTCTGTTCTTCGGGGGTGTCTGTGAGTAAGGGGGCCGTGGGCGGGGAGCGTCTGTGCGTGGGGGAGTTGTTTACGGGTGCAGGCACGAGTGGGGGGGCGGGGGCGCATGCGTGTGTGTGGAGTGGGGGGGACACAACGTGGCCATGCCCGTGTGTGTGGCCCCCCCAAACGTGTGTGACCCCCCCCGTGTCTGTGTGACCCGCGGGGGGTGCCCGCAAGTGTCCAGCCCCCAAAACACCCCAAAGTACACGGGGGGGGGGCACGGGGCAGGCGGGTGATGCGGTTGCCATGGCAACCGCATCCCTGCGTGGGTGGCAGCATCGCCATGGCAACCGTGGACCAGCGGGAGATGGGGGACAGTGACCCCCCCCTCCATACAGACACGACCCCTCCCCCTCCACATACAACCCCCTCCCCACGCAGGAATGGGGGTGGTCCCGATTTCCCCCTCCCAGCTCAGGGTGAGTGTGATGGGGGGTCTGAGAGTGACGGGGGGGTCAGTGCAAAGGGGGGTCCCCCCCCAGGGTGCACGTGCAAACAGCCCCATACTGTGGGGGGCGGGGTCTGTGCAAGGCCAAGGCACGTGTGGGGCCCCCCCATGCCCGGGGGCGTGAGGGGGGGGCACACGGAGCAGCCGCCGTCGGTCCCTGTCGGTCCCTGTCACATCCCGTGAGTGTCACATGAGTCACGGCCGCGGGGCACGGCGGGGGATGAACGGGGGGGGCTGAGGCTGGGGCCACTCGTGACACGCGTGGCTGAGGCTGTGGACACTCATGCCATGTGTGGCTGAGGCCGGGCAGCTCGTGACATGGATGGATGAGGCCAGGGACACTCATGACACGGGTGGCCGGGGCCAGAGCTACTCCTGTCGTGGGCCACTTGTGATGCTGGTGGCTGAGGCCGGGCAGCTCATGACAGGGGTGGCCAAGGGCAGGGCAGTTCCTGCCACGAGGGGTCGAGCTCAGGGGGGTGCTCCCGTCACGGGGGGCTGAGCCCGGCCCTGCTCGTAACACCCACGGCTGAGTCCCGTGCTGCTCGTGACACGTGTGGCTGAGCCCGTTCCCACTCGTGACACGCGCGTGTCTGCCCCCCCTCCCCGTGCTCAGCCATGGCCGAGTACCGCAGCCTGCTGGAGGAGCTGGCCCAGAACATCACGGCCGAGGACCTGGAGCAGCTCAAGTCCGCGTGCCGCGAGGACATCCCGAGCGGGGAGGGCGACGCCATCGCCACCGGCCAGCACTGGTTCGACTTCCTGGAGCGCCACAGCAAACTGGACAGAGGTGATGCCCTGGAGACACGGGGGACACACCCCGAGCCCTGGCCCTGTGTGGCTGCGTGTCCACATGTCCATATACCCCTGTGTCCGTGTGTCTATATATCCCTGTGTCCGTGTGTCCATATACCCCTGTGTCCGTGTGTCCATATATCCCTGTGTCCATATATCCATATACCCCTGTGTCCGTGTGTCCATATATCCCTGTGTCTGTGTGTCCGTATACCCCTGTGTCCGTGTGTCCATATATCCCTGTGTCCATATACCCCTGTGTCCACATGTCCATATATCCCTGTGTCCATATGTCCATATATCCCTGTGTCCATGTGTCCATATATCCCTGTGTCCATATGTCCATGTGTGTCCCCATGTCTGTGTCCATATGTCCCTGTCACCGTGTGTCCATGTGTCCATGTCCTTATATCCATGTGTCCATATGTCCATGTATCCAGATGTCCATATATCCCTGTCCATATCTCCATATCTCCTATATCCATGTCCCTATATCCATATCCCTATATCCATGTCCCTATATCCCTGTGTCTGTATATCCCTATATCCCTATATCCATATACCTATATCCCTGTGTCCATATATCCCTATATCCCTATATCCATGCCCCTGTATCCCTATATCCCCACATCCCTGTGTCCATATACCCCTCTATCCCCTATCCCTGTGTCCATACCCCTCTATCCCCACATCCTGTGTCCATATACCCCTCTATCCCCTATCCCTGTGTCCATACCGCTCTATCCCCCATCCCCGTATCCACGGCCCCGCCGTGTCCCCGCAGCCAACCTGTCGTACATCGAGCACATCTTCGAGATCTCGCGCCGGCCGGACCTGCTGACCAAGGTGGTTCAGTACCGGACGCAGGTGCTCAAGATCTCGGAGGAGGACGAGGTGGACACGAAGCTCACGCGCATCCCCAGCGCCAAGAAGTACAAGGGTGAGACCCCCTGACGGCCCCCCGGGGACGGGGACGCCCAGGGAAGGGACAGGGACCCCCCCCAGGGACACGGGGAAGGGAGAGGGACCCCCAGGGACCCCCCTCATCATCCCAGGGCAGGGCTGGGGACCCTCTGGCTGGGAGGGGGAACCCCAGAGCGCCCCCTGATCCCAGGGAAGGGCCAGGGACCCCTAGGACAGGGCCGGGACCCCCAGAGCTGCCCCTGACCCCCAGGGCAGGGCTGGAGCCCCCCCTGACCCCCAGGGCAGGGCTGGAGCCCCCCGAGCCCCCCCTGACCCCCCTGTCCCACAGACATCATCCGGCAGCCCTCGGAGGAGGAGATCATCAAACTGGCCCCCCTCCCAAAAAGGCCTGAGGAGGAGGAGGAGGAGGATGAAGGCTGAGCCCCCAGGTCCCCCCGTGTCCCCCATCTCCAGCCCCGGGGGCACGGGGGTGGGGAGGGGCAGGACGGGCACGAACGGCTCTGAAAGCCCCCGGGGAGGGGGAGGGGGCGGCTCGTGTGAGTGTGGGGGGCGTGTCTGGGGGGGAGGGGCTTTGTTATTCCCAGGGGACCCCCCCAAAACCCTCAATGGGGGGGGAGGAACAGGGACACCCCCGGTTTTGGTTTAATGGGAGGGAGGGTCACTGGGACCACCCCCCACCCTGGTTTGGGGGGGCACATTGGCACTCCCCCCCAACCCAATTCCAGGGGGTCACAGACACTGGGACCACCCCCCACCCCAATTTTGGGGGGCACAGGGGGGGAGTGACAGACACTGGGACCCCCCACTCCAATTTAGGGGGGTCCCAGGCACTGGATGGCCCCCCACCCCAATTTGGGGGGGGAAATAAAGGGGTTACAAGCACTAAGAGCCCCCCCCAAATTCGGGGGGGGGTCACAGATAATGGGACCACCCCCCACCCCAATTCTGGGGGCCATGGGGGGGAATGACGAGCACTGGGACCCCTCCCAGCTCATTCCAGGAGGGGGTCACAAGCACTGGACCCCCCAATTTGGGGGGGAATGGGGGCAGTGGGAGCCCCACCCCAATTTGGGGGGGTCACAAGTACCTGGGACCACCCCCACCCCAATTTGGGGGGGGTCTGAAGGACAGGGCAGGTGGGGGAGGGTGAGGAGCGTCAGGTGAATTTGGGGGGGGGTCTCTGCCCCCCCAAGCAGCTGCAGAGGGACTTGGTGAGTTTGTGAGGCCTCAGCCCCATTTTTGGGGGGCTGCAGAGGGTGGGGGAACAAGGAGGTGACAAAGTGTGTGTGTGGGGAAAGGGGGGCAACAAGTGACGCCCCCCCCCAAATTGAGGCAAATCCCCCCCCATGACCCCCATTTTTGACACCCCCAGTGCCAAACTGGGAGGGAGGAGCCCCTCAGACTGGGTTGTGAGGGGGGTATTCTGGGGAGGGGGGCGGGTTTGGGGGTTCAGCTCTAGTTACTAACCCAGGGAGGGGAGGGTGTGTTTTTGGGGGCACTGCAGAGAGTGAAATGTTAATATATTTTATTTAATAAAAGCTAAAACCCGCAGCAGCCGCCGGTCCGTGTGTCCCCCCCCCCGAAGCTCCCTGTGCCCCCTCCCCTTATTTATTGTGTGTATGTGTCCCCCAAAACTCACCCCACTTCCCCCAAAACTCACCCAACTTCCCGCTAAAAAACTGTGATTTTGGCTTAAAAAAACCCCCACCAAACCCGACTGTTTGGGCCCCGTTTTGGGGGGTGTCCCCAACCCTCCCGGGGGGGCCCTGTCTGTGTGTGACCCCCCCCCGACCGTGCTGACTGTACAACCATAAAGGATGGAGAGAAACAAACCACCAACTGCTCTGTGCGAGGGGTTTTTGGGGCAAAACGGGGGGAAAACGGGTCAAACCCAGCTGGGTTTTTTTGGGGGGGGAGTGGGGTGAAAGGGGAAGGGGTGGGGGGCACAGATTTGGGGACCCCCAGCCTGGCTCTGTTGGTTTTTATTGCATTTATATATAATATATATTCAAACTTTTACAATTCTTCTCATTTTTTTTTTAAACTCGATAAACATCCAAGGTTTTTTTGTGTTTTTTTTTCTTGAGTTTTTTTCCCCCCTTTTGGTGTTTTTTTTGTTGTTTTTTTTTTGTTTGTTTTTTAATACGTTATAAAATTAGGCCTCTAAACAGTGACATGGGAGGGGGGGGGGAGGGGAAAAAACCACCCCCGACCCCCCTCCCCCCAAAAAAAAACCCCAAAACAAAACAAAAAAAATAAAAGGGGGGAAAAAAAGAAGAATTTTTGGAGGGTTCTGGGTTTTTTTGGGAGGGTTTTGGGGGGGGTAAACCAAGTGCAAATCACTGATATGTACAAACTAAACAAGCAGCTCTCTCTGCAAACAACCCTCGGAGGCACAAAGGTGCAGACCCTCTCCCCCCAAAAAAATGGGGAGCACAAGGGGGTGTGGGGAGGGGAAAGAGGGGGTCCCAAAAAAGCAGAGGAGAAGGAGGGGGAGGGGGGGGATGGTTTTAGTATAAAAATGATCCCCCCTGACAGCCCCCCCCCAAAATAATAATAAAGGGAGGGACCCCCAAACTGGGGGACACACCCCAAATAAGGGGAGGGACCCCCAAATTGGGAGGGGACCCCCAAATAAGGGGGAGTCACAGGGGGGACCGCCACGTGGGAGGGGACCCCAAAAAAGTGGGAGGGGCCCCTCAAATCAGGGGTCCCCACACTGGGGGTCTCCCAGACAGGGCATACCCCCAAATAAGGGGGGAGGGACCCCAAATAAGGGGGTTGGGTGGGGAGGGGTTTGGGGGAGGGGTTACAATACAAAGCTCAAAGTGTTGTTAGTGGGGTGGGAGCCCCTCCCCTCGCGGGTGGGGGCTCTGGGGGGGTCTGGGGGGTTTTGGGGGCCTCAGGAGGGCATGCACTGCACCCGGTCCGGCCCCTCCTCCTCCTCGTCCGACGTGTCCGAAGAAGTCCCGGAATCCTCCGACGGGGTATCGGTCCCGGGATCCCGACGGCGCTGGGGGGACACGGAGAATGGGGGTAATGGGGGGAAAACTGGGATAATGGGGGGATGATGGGGGAAACTGGGATAATGGGGAGAGATGGGAGAATGGGGGATAATGGGGGAAAACTGGGATAATGGGGGGATGATGGGGAAAACTGGGATAATGAGGGAAAAAGCGGGAAAAAGGGGCAAAGGGGTCAAGGGGGGTTTTGGGGTGTCAGCGAGGGGGAAGTTGGGGGTGTTTTTGGGGCTGTTTTTGGGGCTGGTTTCGGGAGTGGTTTTGGGTGTTTTTGGGAGTGTTTGGGAGCATTTCTGGCTGTGTCTGGGCCGTGCTGGGGAGCGTTTCTGGGGGTGTTTAGGAGCATTTCTGGCTGTGTCTGGGCCGTGCTGGGGCCGTGCCGTACCCGGTGGTGGCGGCGCTGGCGCAGGTGGTGCATGAGGAACCAGAGCATGTGGCTGTCGAACATGTCCGTGTGGTGTAGGCTGTCCTCGTCCCGCTCCACCTTGTTCTTCTTGATCACCTGGGGGGGTTTGGGGGGTCACACACACACTGGGAGCCGCCCCAGGAACCCAAACCCACCCTGGGATCCCCCCCAAACCACTATATATGGCCCCACACCCCCCAAGAACCCCCTAAGTCCCTTTAGGGTGACCCCAAACTCTCCAACCCCCTAAAACACCCCTGACCAACCCCCCCATATCCAGAACTCCCCCAAAACATTCCTGACACACCCTAAACCCCCCCAACTCCCCCAGGACCCCCCAAAATCCCCCTCAAACCCCCCCAGACCTCCTTGAGCCCCGTGAGCTCCGTGGGGGCCTCGGCTGTGGGGGCCCAAATTTTGACGTCGTGGTCGAGGCCGCTCGTGGCCAGGACGGGCAGGTGGGGGTGGGGCTCCAGGCAGTTCACCTGGAAAACACGGGAAAACGTGGGAAAACCCGGGAAAAACGGGATGGGGGCGATGGGGGGGGAGCTGCTGCTCCTGGGGTGAAACCACCCCAAAAACCAGGATAAATCCCGCAGGATCCCAGGGAATTGGGGTGCTGGGAAGGCGGGGGGGACTCACCACTCCCCCCTTGTCCCCCTCCATGAACTGCACGATCTGGCACGAGGATTTTTCCCACAGGAAGATGTGGCCGCAGTCGCTGCCGCTCACCACGAACTCGCTCTTGGGGCCGTAGAAATTCACCCCTTTCACTGGGAATTCCAGGGAAGAACCGGGAGAAACGAGGGAGAACGAGGAGCCTGAGTCAGTCCCAGCGGAATTCCCGGCCAGGAATGCAGGGGGAGTCCCTTCCTGAGCCAGTTTCCAAGGGGGGGTCTTTTTATTTGAGGGGGGAGAGGAAAGGCTGGAGGGACCAAGCTGGGATAAAATGGGATGTGGAGGGAATTTGGGGGTGCCTTTTTCCCCTTTCCTTCCTTTTTTCCCCCTCCCCTTTTTTCCCTTTTCCTTTCCCCCCTTTCCCCCCCCTTCCTATTTTTCCTTTACTCCTGTTTTCCCCCTTCCCTTTTTCCCCCCTTTCCCCTCATTTTTCCCCTTCCCCCTCTATTTCCCCTTCCCCCTCTGTCCCTCTTTTCCCCTTTTTCCCCACATTTTTTCCCCCCTTTCCCCCTCCCCAGGGGTGGCATCGAGCCGGGTGGTGCTGCGAGGTGAGCGGGGGGGCTCTGGAATCTCCGATTTTTGGGGGATTTCGGACCCTCCCAAGCCCCCAGGGACACAGATTTTGGGTTTGGGGGGGGTTGTGCCCTGCGGGGGCCGCACCCGTGGCGTTGTTGCGGTGCCCCTTGTAACGCTTGATGTACTGGGCGCCGTCGCTGTGGCAGGAGTCGAACAGGTAAATGTCCTCATCGTTGTAGCTCGCCAGGAGCTCTGCAATTCCAAGCGGGAGAAGCCAGGAATGAGGTGGGCTCGGGGTGCTGGGAAGCCCCCCCAAGCCCCCCCGGGGCTCACCTGAGCCGTCATGGCTGTAGACGAGGCAGGTGATGTTGGCTTTGGACTCACTGTTCACCTGGGAAAGGGGAGAGGGAAAGAGCTTGGAATTCCAGCCCGAATTCCCAGAATTCCCACACCTGAGCAGGGAGCTGGGGGTGTTCCCCCCAGCAAAAAACCCCTCCTGATGCCCAGACGAGCAGCAGAAAATCGGGGTTAAAGGGAAAACCCCCCCACCCCGAGTTCCAGGGGGTTTGCTGGGCCCTGGGGACGCTTTTCCAGGCGGGACATCGGGAAGATCCCACGGGATCGCTCCGAGGGCTCCCAGCCCCTCCCAGTGCCCCCAGTGCCCCCTCACCAGGTGGTGGGGGCAGAACTTCTTGAGGACCCCGTTGTTCTCGTTCTCATTGATCTTCCTCTGGTCATAAATCCTGCGGGAATCGCGGACAGCAAAGGCTTGGAATTCGCTCCAGACGCCAGAGCGGGATCCAAGCCCTGGAAAAGGAGCAGAGGAGGCTCGAAATTCCCAACAAAACAAGCCCTCTCTTCCCAAGCTGTGGGAGCTGTGGGATGAGCAGTCGGGGAGCTGCTGCCTCAGTGCCAGACGCGGCGTGGGTGGAATTCCAGGAGCAATTCCAGGAGTAATTCCAGGATTGGGAGCGGGAACGACGCTCCCGTGCCTGAAATTCCAGCCTGAAATTCCCAGGGGAGGGACCTGGGGGCTGACCTCCTTCCCAGGGTTCCCGAGGGTAGGAATTGTCACTCCAGGAGCTCCATCCTGAGGGATTCAGGAGGATTCCTGAGGGATTCCTGAGGGATCCAGGAGATGCCTGAGGGATCTGAGACAGATCCAAGAGGACTCCTGAGGGATTCAGGAGGATTCCTCATGGATTCCTGAAATATCCAGGAAAATTCCTGAGGGATCCAAAAGGATTCCCGAGGGATTTCTGTAGGATCCAAGACAGATCCAAAAGGATTCCTGAGGGAAGGAGGCGGATCCAGCACATCCCAGTGCGAGCCCGATGGGTTTCCCAGGGATCAATCCCAGGGCCAAACCCCGGCAGGACCCACAGAACACCCGGGATCTGGGCCTGAGGGGGATCCTGGGATTTGGGGCTGAGGGGTTCCCAGGATTCGGGGTCTCCCAGGATTTGGGGTCTCCCGGACTGGGGGGCTCACCGCACGAACTGGTCTCTGCCGCCCACGGCGAAGTGGAAGGTGTTGGCCGGGTTGACGTAGATGGTGTAAAGCCCCACCTTCTTCTCCTTCTCCTTCGTCACCACCAGCTTCCTGGGAAACAGAAAACCCGGGATAATCACAACAAACCCCCATCCCGGGGAGCCCCAACGGGACGGGACATTCCCAGGAAAAACACACCCCAAAATCCCCGGGATTCCACGGGACAAACCCCCCACAACCTGAGCTCCGGGGAGGGGGGGAACATTCCCAAGGGTTTTCCAAGGGACTGAACCATTCCCAGCATTTTCCAGGGAATTGAACCATTCCCAAGGTTTTTCCAGGGAACTGAATCATTCCCAAGGCACTGAACTATTCCCAAAGGTTTTCCAGGGAACTGGAAAATCATTTCAGAGATTTTTCCCAAGCGATTGAACAATTCCCAATGGTTTTCCAAAAGATCAAACCATTTCCCCCAAAATCCCCATTTTCCCCCAAAGCCCCTTGTTTTTTTCCCCCCAAAATCCTTTTTCCCCGAAATCCAATTTATTAGCCAAAAATTCATTTTTTCCCCTCAGAAATTCCCATTTGCTTCCCAAAATTCCCCCCAAAATTCCTATTTTCCTCCCAAAACCACCCATCATCCCCCTCAACCCCACCCCCAAAACCAGCCATTTTTCCCCCCAAAATTCCCTCATTTTCCCCCCAAACTCCGCAATTTTCCCCCCAGAATTCCCGGGTTTCCCCCCGATCCCCCATTTTTGCCCAAATCCCGTGTTTTTCTGCCCGGATCCCCCGTTCCCACTGACGAGGCGGGTCGGTCCTGCCGCAGGTCGATGGTGAACACGACGGCGTCCTCGCCCGCCGACAAGAACGTGCACGGAGAGTCCGGCTCCAGCGCCAGCTGGGAACAGGAAAACTGGGAATGGGCGCCCTGGGAACCGGGCACCGGCAAAATCCAACAAAACCCAGCAGGAACGGGCAAAATCCAACCCAAAATGGGCAAAATTCACACAGAAATGGAGAAAACCCAACCAGAAATGGAAAAAATTCACCCAGAACAGGGTCAGATGCACCCAGAAGTGGACAAAATGCACCCACTCTCAGCCGGATTTGGGGTTCCCCAGCCGGATTTGGGGTTCCCCAGCCAGATTTGGGGTTCCCCAGCCGGATTTGGGGTTCCCACGGAGCCAGGATTCCCGGGAATGCCGCTCCCTCACCTTGTGGGAGGCCCCCTTGTGCTGGGCCACGCGCTTGGTGCTGCGGCAGCACTGGGTGGCCGAGAGCTCGGCCACGCGGACCTGCCCGTCCCGCGCACACATGGCCAGCGTGGAGTCCCCGCTGTTGGGCAGGAATTTCGCCTGGAAAACAGGGAAAACGGGAAAAGGGGGAGGGCAGGGGGTGGGGTTAGTGCAAGGAAAGGAGGGATATGGAGGGAAGAGGGGAAGGGGAGCTCCCCGATGCAGCAGGAGGGGAGGGCAGGGTGAGAAGGGCTGGGGGGGATTCCTGGGATTTGATTCGGGAATTGTCTTGGGAATTACATCAAGATGTCCCGGGAATCGTCCCAGCTCTCCTGGGAATTATCCCAAGATCTCCTGGGAAACACTCCCAGCAATCATCCCAAATCCTCCTGGGAATTGTGCTGGCTCTCCTGGGAACCAACCCGGTAATTCTGCCAGCACTATCCCAGGTTCTCCCAGGACACATCCCAAACACTCTCAGGAACCAGCCCAGCTCTCCTGAGGGTAATCCTAGCAGTTTTCCCAAGATCTCCCAGGAATCACCCCAGGAATCATCCCAAACTCTCCTGGGCATAATTCCAAACTCTCCCCAAAAATCATCCCAGCTCTCCTGGAAATCATCCTGGGAATCATCCCAAGCTCTCCTGGGGATCAATCTGAGGTCTCCCAGGAACCATCCCAGCAATTATCCCAGGCTCTCCTGGGAACCATCCTGTGGGTTTTGGGGTCATTCTTGGTTGAACCACTCCAACACTCTCCCTGCTCCTCCAGCACCTTTCCCAAGCATTCCCTGCCTCAGGTGAGGCTCTCCTGGAATTCTCCTCTCCCCAGAACAGGGACCCTCAGAATGTTGGATTCCAGGGCAAAGCTGTGGGATCAGTCCCAGCTGAACTCATCCCATATCCCTTTGCTCCCCCTGACCCAGCTGAGGGGTACCTGGGATTCTCCCACCCCATCCCATCCCATCCCACCCCAAACAGGGACCACTGGGGGAGCGAATTTTAGGGCACATGTGTGGGATTTGGGGCTCAGATCCAGCCCTTCCTGCTCCCTCAGCCCCTCCTGCTCCCCCAGGCCCCGTCCCCACCTGGAAGACGTTGCTCTTGTGGCCACTGTCGAACTGCAGGACGGGGCGGCGCCTCAGCCAGTCCCACACGAGCACCTTGAGGTCGTCGCTGCCGCTGGCCAGGCGGGTGCCGCGCTGGTTGAAGTGCAGGGTGTTGACGCAGCCCGTGTGGCCCTCCAGGCCGTGCTGCAGGCGGAAGCGCTGCACGAAGAGCCGCGCCCCGCAGGCCTCGGGCACGAAGCGGGCGCAGTAGCCGAGCTGGCGCTGCCGCAGCGCAGGGATCGCCCTCCAGCGCGGCCGCGGCAGCGCCCACGTCTCCGAGGCCACCCAGTCCTCCAGCGCCTGCTCCTCGTCCGACGAGTCGCGCTCGTGGGGCGGCCGCTTGCGCAGGGAGCGGCGGCGGGAGCGCCGCTGCTCCTCCTCGTCCTCCTCCTCCTCCTCGTCCTCCTCCTCGTCGCCGTCGCCGCGCGGCTCCTCGGGGATGGAGTAGTGGCCGGTGTCGTCCATGCTGTCCGAGTCGCGCTCCCCGGAGCTGTCGCTGTCCGTGTCCCCGCGGGGGCCGCGCGCGGGCGCCGCCGGCTCGTCCCCCGTCAGGCTCAGGCTCACGTCCGACGCCTCCACCTCGATCCCCGACGACGTCTCGCGCCCGTCCTCGGCCGACATGTCCTCGGGGCTGCTTGACAGGCTGCCTGGGGGGACATGGGTGGCACACTGTGACCCTCAGTGCTACCCTGTCACCTGTCCTCAGCCCTGTCCCCTGTCCCCAGCCCTGTCCCCCTGTGCCCAGCCCTGTCCCCTGTGCCCAGCCCTGTCCCCAGCCCCGTCCCCAGCCCCCCGGTGTCCCCTCACCGTTGGCGATGTCCGTCCTGCCGTCCATGCTGCTCCCTCTGTCCGACATCCCGGATTCCCGAGCGATTCCCTGCGTGGGACACACGGAAGGAAGGGCTGGAGCCATCCTGTCTCCATGTCCCAAATAATCCCCCCAGGCCCAGGGATGGGCCCTAAGGCCCCGTTTTCCAAGGAAAAACCCCGGAGGAAGCTCCGGGAAGGCTCCAGGACACACGGAAAAAGCTGTTGATCCCGAGGGACTTTAACCCCAGGGACATGTTTTTAAACACATTCCCAGGCAAAATTCCCCCTGGAATCCCTCCAGGAGACACCTGATGTCCCCCAGAAAGGAGCCCTGGCCCCCCCCAAATCCATGGGAAGGGGCAGGAGCAGATCCAGGGGGCACAGGCAGGAGCTCCCTGGAATTCCCAGTTGTCCCAAGAGAGCTCCACTGATCTCCCAGGAATCCCATGGAATGCCAGAGATGAGCAGGGGAATTGTTTTATCCTTAAGAGCTTCCCACCAAGGTGAGAAAACAAGGAATGTGCTTCCATAGGTGAGGAATCCCTTCCCAAACCACGGAGGAAGGAAAAGTTGGGAAATTCAGGGAGCTGAGCATAAAAAAACCCAAAAGCCAAGGATCTGGCAGCTCCCTGGATGCACATCTGGACAGGATCAGCATTCCCAGCTCCACATGCTCCGAGCCTGACGCTCCAGATCCCTAAAAATATCCCTGGGCATTCCAGGGCATTCCAGAGCCTCCTGGACATCGGGATCGGGACTCGCTCGGCTGAGCCTTCCCGCTTTTTTGGCCCCCAAACTGGGCAGCAATTCCAAGAGTCATTCCCAGGTCATTCCCTGTCCATCCCACAAGGCCCAACTTCCATGTGGGACCAGCTCCAGCCTCCGGCTGCTCCCCCAAATCCATCATTTCCCCACGCTGGGATGGAGCCCCCAAATCCCTTGGAATGGAGCCCCCAGGATTGGGGTCCTCCATCTCCACCTCCCCGACAGCTTTGGGGGGTCCAAACGGGAAAAATCCCACTTTTCCAGGATGGGGGTGGAAACCCCCCAGTGGGAACATCCCTGGATCATCCCAACCCTTCCCTGGAGCCCGGTAGCTCCCAGTGCTGCAAATTAATGCTGCTAATTAGCGCTGCTCATTAAGCAGCTTCCCCTTTGGAAGCCCTGAATTCCCACGGGGAAGCACCCCCTGCCCTTCCCGGGGAGGCAGCCCCTCATTCCCTATGGATTTTTCCAGCTTTTGGGAAAGCCAGGAGCCCATTGCCGGCGTGGGCAGGCACTAATTAATGGTTAATTAACGGTGCTCAACGAGCCCCGGGGGCCTCAGCACATTCCAGGAGCGTCCCCGGGTGTTCCCACGGCCCAGGAAATCCGGGATAACCCCCGAAATTCCAGGGGATCCAGGGGCACTCACCTGTGCCAGGGGACAGGAACAGCGGGGCTGGAGGGGGGGGGACGGCAGGTTAAAGCCTGGGGACCCCCCAGTTTTGGGGACCCCCTCGATCCTTGGGGAACCCCCTGGATCCCTGAAGAATCCCCTTGATTCCTGGGGACCCCCAATTTTTGGGGACCCCCCAATACCTGGAGAACCCCCCGATTTTTGGAGACACCCCCCCCCAAGTCCCTGAGGAACCCTCTGACCCCCGGGGACCCCCCAGTTTTGGGGAACCCCGGTTTTTGGGGACCCCCCTGATCCCTGGGCACACAGGACTCAAAGGCCCTCAGGGACCCCCCCAGCCCTCCCCAAAATCTCAGGGACCTCCCTACAGGCTCAGACCCCCCCAGAGGCTCCGGGACCTCCCAGGGACCCCCCCAAATGCTCAGACCCCCCGCCAGAGTCCCCTCAAAGACCCAGAGCCCCCCCATCCCCAGGGTCCCCCCCAAAGGTTCAGGGCCCCCCAGACTCTCAGAGACTCCCAGGGATCCTCCCCACCCACGCCCGCCGCCCCGGGAGTCCCCGTGCCCTCCCCTGTCCCCTCCCTCCCCTGCCGGAAGGCCCGGGCCCTGCGGGCCCGGCGGGGCGGGGGCTGCGGAGGCCGCGCACCGACCCGAGCGCTCGGCGGGTGTGCCGGGGTCCCGCGGTGCCCCGGGGGTGGGTGGGCTCAGTTCGGGGCCCCCCCGGCCGCTCCCGCTCCGGGCCCGGGCCGGGCCTTCTCCGCCATCGCCACAGCCCCGCCCCCGCCGGGCCGCCCGACGGCACCGCGCGACACCGCGCGACACCGCGGGGCCCGGAGCGCCGCCGCGCTTTACGGCAGCGCCCCGGCGTTGTCATGGGAACGGCGCCTCTTCCCCCCCTGCTGTTTGTGGGAACCGCCGATGTTATTGTAGGGTCGCTCGGTGTCGCCGTGTTGTCTGAGGGTCACGCCTGCTCCCTGTGGTGCTGCAGGGACGCCCTGTGTTGTTGTAGGGTCAGCCTGTATCAGCCAATGCTATTGTAGGGTCACTTTGTGTCACCCAATGTTGTTGTAGGGTCACCCTGTGTCACTCAATGTTATTGTAGGGTCATCCTGGGTCATTCAGTGTTATTGTAGGGTCACCCTGTGACCCCCAATGTTATCGTAGGGTCTCCTTGTGTTCCCCTGTATTATTGTGGAGTCACTGTGCGTCCACACCTGTTATTGTAGGGTCTCCTCGGGTTATCCCACGTTACTGTAGGGTCACTTTATATCCACAAATGTTATTGTAGGGTCTTCTTGTTCCCCTCTGCCCCACGTTATTGTAGAGTCACTTCCTGTCCCCCCAGTGTTATTGTAGGGTCTCCTTTTACCCCCCAATGTTACTGTAGGGTCTCCTTGTCTCCCCTGTGTTATTGTAGGGTCCCCCCAGTCCCACCCCCATTTTTAGGCCCTCTGAGCCACTCGAGTCACCAACACCTTTATTGGGGACACCATGGGGGGGGTTGAGGGGATACACCCCAAAATGGGGGGGTCCCTGTGTCCCTCTCCCCAAAAAACCCCCCACAACCCCCCCCAAATCGGGGGGCGGGGGGCACAGCAGCAGCTCCAGCGGTGCCTCTTCGTCCTCCTCCTCCTCCTCAGCGACGTCACTGGCGGGGGTCGAGGCAGGGGGGCCCCGGGGGGGCCCTGGGGGAAGTCCCTGGGGGTCCTGGGGGGTCGGGACCCCCCTACATGACCCGGCACTGCTCCCCACTCGCCCCCCCTGGCAGCTCCAGGTTGAATCCGGGGGGCTGGGGGGGCACACGGGGGTCACCCCAGGGGACTGGGGGTCCCCAGGTGTGCTGGGGGGGGGTCCCTGTGTTGTTGTAGGGTCTCCTTGTGTCAACCCATGTTACTGTAGGGTCAGCCCAAACCCCCCATGTTATTGTAGGGTCACTCTCTACCTCCCTTCCACATTATTGTAGGGTCTCCCTGTGCCCCCAGAGTTATTGTAGGGTCTCCCTTCATCCCCAGTGTCCCTGCAGGGTCCCCAGGGGGTCCCACCCCCCCAGACTCACCGTGTCCCCTGCCAGCTCCTTGGGGGGGTGTCCCAGGTCCTGCAGCTGTGGGGGGTCAGGTCAGTCTGGGCGGGCAGGGGGTTCAGGGGTCCCCCCCAGCCCCCCCTCACCTGCTGCATCAGGTCCAGCAGGGTCTCGAAGCGCTGCCGGCGCTGCCCCTCGGGCTCCCCCGGCTGCTCCCGCTCCAGCTCCGCGCACAGCCGGGACATCAGGGAATGCTGCGCCTGGAACCGGCGCAGCTGCTCCTCCGGCAGCGACCCCCCGTGCTGCCGCAGCCACTCGGGGTACTGGGGATGAGGGGGGCAATTGGGACCCCCAGGGACCCCCCATCAAACCCCAGGGACCCCCCATCAAACCCCAGGGACCCCCTGTGCTGCCGCAGCCACTCGGGGTACTGGGGATGAGGGGGGCAATTGGGACCCCCAGGGACCCCCCATCAAACCCCAGGGACCCCCCATCAAACCCCAGGGACCCCCTGTGCTGCCGCAGCCACTCGGGGTACTGGGGGTGGGGGGGGCAATTGGGACCCCCAGGGACCCCCCATAAAACCCCAGGAACCCCCCATCAAACCCCAGGGACCCCCTGTGCTGCCACAGCCACTCGGGGTACTGGGGGTGGTACTGGTGTCAGGGGGGGCAATTGGGACGCCCCCATGGGACCCCAAGGCTCCAGGGAACCCCCCAGGGCCACAGCCCAGGGACAGGCGGGACCCCCAAGGCCCCCTGAAGCGACAGTGACACCCCAGGGGTGCCAGGGGCAGACCCTGGGGGCATCAGGGACCCCCCAAGAACCCCTCTGTGGGGGTCACCCCCTCCCATCCAAACCCCCCACCCCGATCCCACTCCCACTCCCACCCCTCCGGCCCCCCACGACCTCCCCGTGCTTCCCACACCCCCAGGGACCCCCCCAGGTTTTCAGGGACCCCTCTCCCCCTTTTTGGCCCCCCCACCTTGTCGGTGATCTCCTTGAGGGAGGGGTAGAGCACGTCCTTGGACAGCAGGGACTGCATCAGGCTGCGCATGACGGGCAGGACGCCGTCCCCGGCCCCCTCCTCCAGCCCCAGCCCCTCCAGCGCCTTGGCCAGCTCCTCCTCCGAGCCCGGCGAGTTCTGGGGGACACCCGTCAGACCCCCGGGATCTGGGGGGACCCCAAACGGGCGGGGATGGGATAGGGGGGGTACCTGGAGGTCGGTGGCGTTCTTGGCCAGCCCGCTCAGCGTCTCCTTCAGGCAGGACGTGAATTCCTGCTGCGAGGCAGTGTCGGGGCCTGTGGGGAGAATGGGGTGGGAATGGGGTGGGAATGGGACAGGAATGGGCTGGGAATGGGCTGGGAAAGGACTGGGAATGGGCAGGGAATGGGCTGGGAATGGGCCGGGAATGGGCTGGGAATGGGCTGGGAATGGGCCAGGAATGGGCTGGGAATGGGCTGGGAATGGGGTGGGAATGGGCCGGGAAAGGACTGGGAATGGGCAGGGAATGGGCTGGGAATGGGCCGGGAATGGGCTGGGAATGGGCTGGGAATGGGCCAGGAATGGACCAGGAATGGACCGGGAATGAGATGGGAACGGGCTGGGAATGGGCTGGGAATGGGCAGGGAATGGGATGGGAATGGGCAGGGAATGGGATGGGAATGGGCCAGGAATGGGGGACAGGTGCTCTCCTGGGGACCCCAACCCCAAATGGGAGTCCTGAGGGCCTGTGGGATTGGGAATGGGGGGACACCACCAGGAACCTCACCTGGATCATCTTGGGAGCCTCAGGCTGGCACCTGGGAAGCCCAGAGGGTGCTGGGGGTACCCCCAAATCCCTGTCCCAGCCCTGGCTGTCACAGGGATGGATCCAGGACCCCCCAAAATCCCTGTCCCAGCCCTGACTGTCACAGGGATGGATCCAGGAATCCCCCAAATCCCTGTCCCAGCCCTGGCTGTCCCAGGGACCCCCTCAGGGCGCCGTGGGTGGATCTGGGCGGTGACAACACTGGGTGTGGCGCAAGCAGGGGGTGTTTCCCCGCCTCGTGGTGCCCCCAGAGGGCAGGGGGGTTGTTCCCCACATCCCACCCCCTACTCACCCACTTTCCCAGCCGCCTCCGAGAGCTTCTGGAACTGCTCCACGAGCTGCGGCTCCTGCCGGGCCAGCTCCCGCATGGCCTCCTCAAACTCGGCAGCCGCCTGGGACGCCAATTCCCCCTCGAACAGCTCCTGGAAGAACCGCTCCTGGGACGAGAACAGCGAGTCCTGGGACAGGGGGGCTCGGGGGCTGCCCCCAAACAGCCCCCTGGGGAAGGGGACGGGGAAAGGGGGGGGGTCCCACCTTGGCGGAGTCGGCGGCGGAGGGAGAGGGGAGGGAGGAGGAGGAGGAGGGAGGAGGGGGCGGCGCAGGGCGGCTCCTCTCGAAGTCATCCAGGGCACCTGGGGGGGTTGGAGGGTCAGGGAGGGTTTGGGGGGGTGTAGGAGTAGGGGGACCCTCCGAATAGGAGTGCCCCAGTCAGCGGAGTGGGGGCCCTGCGTCCCACGGGGACACCGAGAATGCACCCCAAAGGAGCGCCCCGATAACCTCCCCCCATAACTGCACGCCAATAACTGCCCCTAAAAAACTGCACCCCAATAACTGCCCCCCAATAACCCTCACCCCAATGGCACCCCAGTAACTTCACCCAAAATCTGCGCCCCAATAATCTGCACCCCAATACCTGCACCCCCAATTGCCTCCCAATAACCCTCACCCCTAACTGCACCCCAACAGCTGCACCCCAACGACCCCCAGTCCCCCTTGCACCCCGAGGGCCCCTGCCCACCCCAACGACCCCCCAGTGCCCCGTACCCCAATAACCCGTCCCGAACCCCCACACCCCACTGATCCCCCCGTCCCCCATTGCACCCAATGACCCTCCCAGAGCCTCCCCGGCCGCTCTGACCCCAACAGCCCCAGCCCCCTGAAACCAACGACCCCGGACCCCACTGCCCACCATGACCCCCACCCCTCCCGACCCCCTCACCCCCTGTGGCCCCCACCCTCATTGCCCCCATGACCCTCATTGCCCCCATGACCCGCAGCCCCTCCCGACGCCCTGCACCCCGTGGCCCCCCGCTCACCCCAGTGACCACCCCCCGATCCCCGCCGACCCCAGTGGCCCCCAGGCCCCCCGTGCCCCCCTCACTGTCCAACAGCTCCTCCAGCTCCGGGTCCGGCCCCGGGCCCGGCTCCGGCTCCGCCGCCATCTTGGCGCGCTCCGCCCTCCGCCGCCAGGGGGCGGCACCGCCCGGGAGGCCACGCCCCCAACCCAGCCACGCCCCCTCTACCGACCCCGGAACCGCCAGGGGGCGCTGCGGAGCACGGGGAGAGCGGCAAAGCCCGGAGCGGGATCGGGAACGGGGAACATGGAACATGGAACACGGAACATGGAACATGGAACACGGAACACGGAACACGGAACACGGAACATGGAACACAGAACACGGAACACGGAACATGGAACACAGAACACGGAACACGGAACACGGAACATGGAACACAGAACACGGAACACGGAACACGGAACATGGAACACGGAACACGGAACATGGAACACGGAACACGGAACACGGAACACGGAACACGGAACATGGAACACGGAACACGGAACACGGAACATGGAACATGGAACACGGAACATGGAACATGGAACACGGAACATGGAACATGGAACACAGAACACGGAACACGGAACACGGAACATGGAACATGGAACATGGATAGGGAACGGGATCAGGGAACGGGAACAGGGAACAGGAGCAGGGAACGGGATTGAGAACACAGAACAGGGAACGGGAACGTGATCAGGAGCAGGAGCGGGAACACGGAACAGGGAACAGGAGTGGGAACAGGGAATGGGACATTTCCCAGGCACGGCTGATTTTTGGGATGTCCTTCCCCTTCCATGCTCGTCCCTCCCAGGGGGTTGGGAATGTCCTCTCCTGGATCTCACCCTTTTGGACAAATTGATGTTTAAGTCATTCCCGATATTTGGGTACAAAATTCCAACGTTGGAATACGAAAACGCAATGTTTGGGTACGAACACTGGGATGTCATTTTAAAAAATCCCGATATTTGAATGGAGAAATCCAATAATTGGATAGAAAATATTTGGATATAATCCAGACAATCCGATATTCTGGTGGAAAGTCCAATATTTGGGTACAATTTGGATATAAAATAAAAAATCCCATATTTGGGTCTCACCCCGCACAATCCAATCGTTGGTGCCCCCGTGGTGGCTCCGGTCGCCCCAGGGCCAAGAATTCCGTGTTGGTGGATGGCAATCCCGAGGGAACAGTGTCCCTTTGTCCCTGGACAATGGCCTGGAGCTGGAATTCCTTACCCCCTCATCCCACTCCCCGCTCTGCCCGCTGGAACCCGTGGGATCCGAGGGATTCCAGGGTTCCCCTGGAGCTACTGGGACCAGTGGAGCCCACGGGGATGTTCCCAAGCCCAGGAATCTCCTCGCGGGGATGAGAGGTGAGGGTGATCCCCATGGAATGCTGGTGCTGCTCCCGCGGGATCTGCAGCTGGAAAAGGGCAGAGGTGACTCGTTCCCGGTGCCTTTTTGGGGGGGTTTAGGGCAGGATTTGATGGGGGAAATGATGGGAATGCCCGTGTTGGATCCCAAATCCCGGAACTCCTGAGCTTGGAATGGTGCTGGCGCTGGGAATACTGGTCCTGGAATTCGGGGGATGGAACTGTGGGGTGGGGCAGGATGAGACCCCTGAGGGGATCCCGGCGAGGAGGAGCCGGTTCCAGACACCCCTCGGAAAACGGGAATTTAATCCCCAAACCTGGCAAAAGGCTCGTTCCCTGCCCCGGATCCCGGGACGGAGACCCGACAGAATTCCTGGAGAACCCTGGCAGCGCATCCCGGCGCCGCGGAGGGGGACAGGGAACAAGGAGCAGGAGCCACATCCCAGATCCCGGGAAGTGTCACCTCCCGGCACCTCCCGAATCCCGCGCAAAGGTCCCCGTTCCGCCCTGCTGTTCAAACAAACGCATTCCCGGCGGGACGAATCCCGGGGAACGCGAGCCGGGAGCCGGAGCCGGGGGACGTTGGCTCCAGGGGGTGGAAATCGGGGATTTTCCTTGTTTTTTTGCCCCCACCGGGCGGCGGTTCCGGGGCACCCCGGCTGTCCTGAGCTCCCGGAGCTTCCCCATGCTCCCGGAGATTCCCTGGGGGTGGGAATTGTACCCCCGCCCCCTCCCCGCAGGTGCCTCTGGAGCGGGATCGGGTCGTTCCAGCCGGGACTGACTCGTTCCGTGGTGGCTTTTCCCAGGAAATGAAATCCCTCCTGGATCCGGCCGTGCTGGGATTGTCCAAGGTGTGTGATCCGTCCGGAGCTGGGACAAGGTGGGGATAGGGGGCAGCGCCAGGGATTTGGGATTCAGCCCCAGGGGTTTGGGATTCAGCCCCAAGGATCTGGGGTTCAGCTGGCAGCGGGTTGGAAAAGTGGGATTTGGGGGCTCCCGCGGGAATGGGAGCGGCATTCCCGGCACAGGGATCTGCGGGAAAAGGGTTAACAGGGAAAAGGATCTGTTTTGCCGAGTGGTTCCTGGTTTGTTTGGAGTGTGGGAGAGGAGGAGGAGGAGGAGGAGGAAGGACGAGAGGGGGTGGCTCAGGGCTGGGACCCCGGGAACTGGGAATTGCAGGGCTGGGACCCGCAGGTGGGTCCTGGGGTGACCTGGAGGTGACCTGGACACCCCCAGAACCCCCCCCACAAAGACCCCAGGACCCCGGGGAGCCAGGGACCCCCTGGATTTGGGAGCTCAGGGGCTGCAGGAGGAGGAGGAGGAGGAGGAGTAACTCTGTCCTTCCTCCTCTGGAACGGGAATTCCCAGTGGGTCCAAAGTGCTGCTGGAGCTCCGGGTAACTGCGGGATGGGCACGTGGTGGCCCCCACCGACCCCTCCCTCGTGGGATTGGGGACCCCTGATCCCAATCCAGCCACTCCAGGGATGAGTTTGGCCGCTCCCAGCACGGACCAGGGGAGAGGGATCATCCCAAAATCCCCGTGCTGGGAGGGCAGTGCCATCGTCCTGCTGTTCCTGGATCCCTTTGGGATCCAACCCCCCGGGATAGGGATCCAATCCCCCGGGGCAGGGATCCCATCCCCCGGGGCAGGGATCCCCCCCTCCTGGATGGCTCCCAGAGGGTCAGGACTTGGGGGGAGCTGCTCCAGGATCCCGCCCCTTCCCCTCCCATCTCCTGGCTCCGCTTGGATTCGCTCCCTGAGATTCCCAGCTGGGAGGGCAGTGCCATCATCCTACTGTTCCTGGATCCCTTTGGGATCCCAGGTTTTTTTTCCTGGGCACCTGGATGAGCCTGGGAGTCCCTGAATCTACTTGGGCCTCGTGGTTTTTTGGGAAGAGCTGTGGTTTTCCGTGTTGGAGCCACCCCGGAGCGACGGCTCTTCACTTATTTCTGATCCCAAATTTCCAATTCCGTGTTTGTGGCGGATCCCGGGCAGATCCAAGGGCAGATCCATAAAGGAAAGTGTTTTTTTTTTTTTTTATCAGCTGACTGGGCTGGGAATGTAAAAACAGGAAAACGACTGAGCTCATCCCCCTCATCCCACTCATCCCAGTCCCTCCCAGTCCCCCGTGGGGTGAGTCCAATTGGGGCCAGGGGAGGATGCACCACCCCAGAACGGGCTTGGGATTTGGGGATTGTGGGACTGGAGGGATGGGATGGGGTACAGGAATCCAGGGGAGCTGCTGGGAGCAGCCTGGGATCCACCTGGAGGGGGGAAAGGAGGCGGGGGGATGTGGCCCAGGGAGGGGCAACTGGGTCGGGATGTTCGGGGGGTGTTGGGGTTTTGGGAGAGGTGTCGGTATCCTGGGAGGGCTGTTGGGATGCTCGGGAGGTGTTGAGGTGTTGGGAGGGATGCCAGGATTCTCTGGGGTTTCCCCAGACTCACGTGGCGTTTTGGGGTGCGGGGGACACATGGCCAGACCGACCTCTCCCCAGATCCCACCCCAGTTCCCAACCCAGAAAACCCCCAGATCCCATCCCAATTCCCCCCCAAGGTCCCATCCCAATCCCAGGTCCCTCCAGAGCCCCCTGATCCTCCTCTCCCGTGGCTGGACCACTCCAGGGGGTTGGTTTGGGGGGTTCATCCCCCCGAGGTCTGGATGAGCCACATCCCTGCAGGGTGTCCCCCCACCCCCCATTCACACTCCACATCCCCCTTCCCAACCCCTTCATCCCGGCCAAATTCCTGGGAGTTTAATGAGTAACCAGGAGAGCTCGGCTCCGGGAAGGGGGGGTGGGTTTGTGAGTTCCGACCCCCCCGCAGGGGTTTGGGGACCCTCAAACGGGAACGGGAATGTCCCTCCCCCAGAGCACGGCCCTGACGCCCAACCCCAAATCCGGGGCTGGGGAGGGGCAGAGCTCGGCTGAGACTCCCCCAAACTCATCCCACGGCTGGGCTGGGCCCCCCCCAAATCTCCCCCAACCCCCCCTCATCCCCCCGGGGGCTCTTCCCGCAGCGCCCGGCCCTGAGCAGCTCATGGAGCCCCCCGACATCCCCGAGCCCCCCGGGGGGGTCCGGCTGCGGCGGCGCCGCTGTGTGTCCGTCCTGGAGCCCGGCACGGCCTGGGAGCCGCAGCACGAGGAGGAGGAGGAGGAGGAAGGGCCATTCCAGGGGGTGCCCCTGCGCAGAGCCAGGACCCTCCGGAGCCCCCTGGATCCGTTCCGCCGGCACAGCTGGGAACCGGGCAAGGAGCTGCGGGGGGTCCCGGGCTACGACCAGCTCAGGTAAGGGGGGACCCTCCCCAGACCCCCACCTCCAGGCCCACCCCAAAATCCAGAGGTCCAGGACCTCCCCGTGCCCCTGAACCCCTCAAAATCCAGAGGTCCAGGAACTCCCCCTGTCCCTGTCCCCTCTCCTGATCACCCAAATTCAGGGCTCAGAGTCCTCCTCATGTCCCCCCACCGCAGGGTGAGCCCCGAGCTGGACTCCAGCTCCGAGGGGCTGGGGGGGCTGTGCCGGCACCGCCGGGACCCTCGGAGAGCCCCCCTGGTTCACTCCAGCGATGACCTGGAGTCACTGCTGTCCCAGGATGAGGAGGAGGACGAGGCCGATGTGCAGCGGGCACAGGTGGGACCCTCCTGTCACCCCGGGGGTTCTGTCACAGCACCCACCTTCTGGGGGGGCACAGGGGACATCGCCCTGGTGGCTCTGCCATCACCCCAAAGTGGCTCTACCATCATTTTGGGGGGGGCTTTGCCGTGACCCTGAGCGGCTTTGCCATTGTCCTGGTGGTTTGATCATGGCCCTGGTG